TACGTTCCGGGTCTCCAATGGCCACCGGATGTGGAGTATTTGGACAAATAAATAATTTTCTATCGACGACGGACGTGCAATTGTTATTTAAATAAATAATATGATGAAAGAAAAGTAATTTAAACAAAACAATCCTCCATACATTTAATAGGTATCTGGCCTGTATTGTTCCGTCCATCCCTCAAGAACGTGTTCTGTCAAATCAGATAAGCACGCGTCGTCTGTTTCCCGATACGTGTCCCTTCTCGAAATTGACATTAATTGGTTATTGATTGCGAGCGTGTTTATTTTGAAGATTTCGAAAATGCCAAATAAAACAATCAATTCTTCGGGATAAACAAAGAAAAGTTTGGTTAAGAGAGGTTCACCAGAAAAGACCTATTGAATTCGCCTAAGCATACAAGTAACGGGTGTAACCATAATATAGTCATTCGTTCGCCAAACATGGATTTTCTTACGCCGGTTTGTATGGAGTTTGTTTGTTTCGTTTGTTTATGAAGAATTTTTGTTTCGCGTGGGAAGTTGGAGTCATTTGACGGGTTTTTTGAGGGGAATGATTTGAATAATAATAATAATAATGCAGTTGTAAGGGGGTTGATCGATGGTGCAGTTTCTCGGAAGGTCCTCGGCGAAAGAGAGAATCCTCAATATTTGCAAAACAAAACAAATGAAATTCAAAAATGGACAAACAACGAAAAATTTGATATTAATTTGTTTTTTGATTCGTAATGTTGCCCATCTATCTTCATGAAATTACAGCGTTAATTAATTGGCATTATTGTTATTGCACGTTTACAGATTCTTTAAAGGGACGATGGGCAAATGTTGGCCGACGACATCCGGAGATTGCTACGTTCTGTGGCTTAGAGGATGAATTTTGTTTTGATTTGTATTGCGCACATCAGGATGTACGACATGTTGAATGGAATTTGTTGATTTATTTTTGTAGGCTTTTTTGCACCGCAATTAAAGACGGATGGCAAAGTGTGGTGACATTCCATTCGTGTGCATTTAGCACTTGTTATGGCTAATTGTTTGCGGTGGAGGGGAGAGGAGGGACACGATTGGATGAGTGAACGGGCTTTGTACCAAATTTGTTTACACACAAAGGGATTGTTTATGTTTTGTTTAAAAAAAAATAATCCTTCTTTTGAAAGGATGGCATTTCCCCTTTGTTTGATCGAAAACAAAAGCGTGCTTCCCTTCGGGTAATATGAGATGGCGGACGGTGGCTAGGATGGCTCTTTTATTTGGGTAACCTCTTTTGGAGCTATAGAAAAATACAAAATTATTCACGTACGTCGTAAAGAAATTACAAATAACCGACAAATAAAGGGGGAGAGGAGATGGTTTAAATTCGCACAGTATGGTATCATTCGTGCAACTTTGACTCGGAGAAATCCAACGGTGAACTTACCTCCTTCAAATCGTATAATGAAATCGTAACTGCGTGCGGTACTGTACGTATGCGCTGATGATGAACTTGTATCCCGTCGGCATATTCATAAAGCATACACCGAAAAGGAATCGGCAACCAATAAACAAACATCAAAACGGTACTCCCGTAACTCAGAGAAATGCCAAATTACAAGTCATACCTTTCCTTCGGTTCTCACACAACATTTGACCGTAATTTATTAGGTAAATTGATACATGTTTTGGATTGCCTAAAGGGAATTTCTAGCACGAGCGATAATTTTCGATTCGCATGAGTCCTTACACAACAAATATCAACACAAGATTAAACATTAATTCGTATACCATTTCGGTAAATGATTCTAATGATCAATTGCTGGCACGATTGCACATTAGCGTTGGAAATGACAACGATCGTTTGTCGTAGAAGAATCCGAAAGAAAATTTTTTGTTTCTTCACCGATTCTAGGTCACGCGCGTGCGTGTTTCCGTTAAGAAAAAGAAAAAAGAAAATCAAAACGATTGATTGATTGATTGATTGATTGATCATGCAAACATTCAGCGCATGTTTTTTTTTTTTTCTTTTGAGGAAAGGGAATATTGACAAAGAATTTCTTTGGTATCATGATTTTCAAGTGTTTTTTCTTAAGATGTTTTTGTTTACCGCTGATGTTTTTGTGTACATGTTTTTTTTAATCGTGTGTGCAGTGTTTATATTTGAGATGCGTGTGACTAATAAGTCCAATATGCCAAGCAGTATGAGGGTAACAATAATAATTTACCATACGTGAATGGGACGACTGTGATGATGTACGGGGTGCTTGATTGTTTCCTTACGGGTACAAAAAATTAGAGTTACCTTGTGTACAAATACAAATATTGAGTAAATAAAAAGAACCTCGGTGTCGAGAAAAAGAAGCCGGTCATTAATTGAATCTGCATTAGTCGTTGAAAAAATCGGTGTGTTCGATAAAATTAAAGTTTTTGCTCAAAGCGGACTAATCAACAGAGCGTTGTTCTTTTTTTTTTTTTGTTGAAAAATTTTTTTTTTTGGGTACGATGTGATTGACCTGCGATTTTCCAACCATACCTCTCTTATCACTTGATCAAATGACCCAATTGAACAAGGAGCTGTCGGTGTGTCACGGTACAACCTTGGTCTGCGGTCTCGTGTATGACTGTAGCAAGGAGATATCGGTATATAGAAAGTGTTCGTGGGTCCACTTTCACACACACGTTTAATATGGCGAAATTGAATTTCACAAACCTCTTGGAAGATACCATTTTCGTCGAATAATTAACTTTTCCAAATAGCAATGATTGCCCCTGCTACTGGATTGCGATCAAGGTCGTCTTACTTGATTGCAATCGATCATATGCGAATTTAAAATGTTTCAACTTGATCTCGATCCTGATAAAGTTCTG